CCCAGAGATGCGGGTGTGCGACACAGGTGCAGGGGTGCCAGGCCCTCCGCGCTGAGCAGGTCTGGGTCTGCCCCATGCTGCAGTAGCAGCCGGGTGCAGGCGGTATGGCCCCCGAGACAGGCCTCGTGTAGGGCGCCGCGACCTCCGGGGCTGGCATCCGGATCAGCACTGCGACTGAGAAGGTATCGCACACAGAACACGTGGCCGTGGGCCGCAGCGATGCACAGTGGCGTGGTGAGCTCCCGCTTGTACTCCAGGGTCCAGAGGCCTGGGAGGGGAGGGGAGGGGAGATGATGTAAGGCTGGGGTAGATGGAAGGGCAATTTGCTAAGGCTGGAGGGTGAAACCAGTTGTTAGTGGTATCAGGTGGGCACGTGTGAGAGTCACTTGACAGTATAGATAGAGATGCATACCCCAGACAGAGCACAGAGACACACGGAGTCAAAGACAGAACCATGGAGAAAGAAGAGAAAAGGCTGGGAGGGCTATGCCTGAGATTCCTGTGAGATAAGGGGGATTTCCCAGATGTGGGCAACTGGGGGAATTGTAGTAAGTTTTAGGGTTAAAGGCTGGTCCAGGAGGAAGGGTGGGATGGCATAGGATGTATGTATGTATGTATGTATGTATGTATGTATGTATGTATGTAATCCCACTGAAGAAGGGATTTCTTCTAGGTTCTGGATTGGGGGTAGCTTGAAAGAGGAGTGGGCTATGGAATTTTCCAGAATCTAACCTTCTGCCACCTACCCCTTCATCATTAAAAGGAAACAAACATACAAAACAAACCCCATTACCAGGGTTTTTCTGTCGAGAAGATGAGGGAAGAAGTTGAGTTCTTGGAAATGGCTGCTATAGAAGGTTGCTTTCATGAGGCTGTCTACAGTATACACAATTCTGGTGTGTGTGTGTGTGTGTGTGTGTGTGTGTGTGTGTGTGTAGGACTGACTGTTCCTTCTTGATGGATGAATGAGCAGATGCTGTGTGTTTGGCTTCTCTGAACACTTCTCTGCTTTCATAAAGCTGGGGCAAGGTTATTAGTGGCCAGGAGCACCCCTGGGAGGGGGGAGGTGTCCCCTGTGAATACCATCAAGGGACAGACACTCACATGGCAGGAAGACTTTCTGTAATGATGGAAGGATCGATAAGGTGGCTGTAATGAGCAGTACAGGGGACCCTTTTTGAGGCCACCTCCTTCCTGGGACACATGCTGGGCTGTTTTGAAAGCCCACACTCATTAATTAGCTACCTGCATGAGGCAGAGAATCCCAGCCTGCTGCTGGGCCCAAAGGCCCAGCCTTGAGCTTGCTGTTTGCTCAGTGGGGGAAGGGGGTGGGGGCTGTCATCACTGGTGTGGAGGAGATACAGTAGTCAGTCTCAGGGATTGGGTAGGGTGGCGCCCCCTGGGTTTGGACTCTCTTTTCCAGGGAAGACAGTGTGATTACAGGGAATGGGTGGGTCTTCCTTGAGGAGAGTGGCCCCCAGCCTTCCTCAGGGACTACTGGACTCCTGCTTTGGTGCATTTCCTAGTATGCAGAGTCTACTCACTTTTCCAGAGTCTACGAAGCTGCCAGCCTACTCTCCTGCCTCCCCCAACCCCCACTCTCTATGCCCACTCTATGCCTTCACTCTAACAAGAAAACTTAACTCCTGGGTCCAGGAGATGGCTCGGTTGGTAAGGTGGTCGCTATGAAAGTACAAGGATTTGGATTTGATCTCCAGAACCTACATACAAAATCTGGGAATGGTGGGCCATGCTTGCAATGCCAGCACTGGGGAGATGAGGACAGGAAGGCACTTGGGCCCTTTGATCCCACAGCCTAGCCTAGTTGACAAGCCTCAGGCCAGTGAGAGACTTTGTCTCAGGAAACACTATTCCCAGGGGTTGTTCAGGGGTTGTTTCTGCTCTGGGGAGTCAGGTGACTGAACAAACAAACGAGCAAGCAAGCAAACAAACAAAACAAAAACAAAACAAAGCAAAGCAAAACAAACAAACAAAAACCAAAAACAAAAGCCAAAAAAACAAAAAATGCAGGGAGTCCAAGTAGCCCGGCCCCCTGCTTTCCTGGTCCTCACTGAACCCGGGAACCTGGGCTGACTAACTGGACTGGCATTTCCCTGGTGCTCTGTTGTCATTATATTCTAGTGTCCTGCCCTGAAGATGTGTTCTAGAAAGTTGTGGAATATAGGGGTCAGAAGACTATAGGGAAGAAAGGAACTAGATTGTAGATTTTGACAACATGAAAAAGATAGGTTAAACTACCCCCCCCAACCAGGGGGTGAAGGAGGGGCTTGCCATTTGAGCACATGCGAGTCCAGGGTTGGGTAACATGTGATTTGAAAAATACACATGGCTTAGCATTGAAGCAGCCGGCATTCTTGATCTGAGGCAGGTGAAGGAGGATGCCCAGAAGGATCACAGTAGGAGGCAATGCAGTCCAGACTAGGAGCGAAGGGCTAACACAGGCAGAAAGCTTCCTGCTTCAGCCTCCCTCAAGTGACTCACAGGACCTGCAGCACCAAACGGTGTGCCAGCCACAGGGCCCTCTCTGCAAAGCATTTTCTAGCAGTGCAACCTCTGCTCTGAGCAGATCCCACTGTCAGCCCCTGGATCGGGCAGTGTGGTGTGCTGGACAGGGGACGGGTTCTGGAATACAAGCATGATGGACTCGGATCACAGCTTGACCACACCACTGAGCAGACATAGCCCTGCCAGCAGGCCTCGTGCTGCAAACGGCATGGCTCTTGGGCAGTGTTTTGGGTTCAGTTTCCCCCTCTCGTGTGAGGTAAAGAACCACTTTTCCACAGTTAGCCTGTTAGAGCTCCCAGGTTAGGACTTGTGTCCGGCCATAGTGTCCTGCCATAGATCCTCAATTTACCATGGTCTGGCAGAGCTGTGGGTGGATTTCAACACAGCAGTGCATGGCAGGTCAGTGTCTAGTACAGCCCACCAGCCCCAAAGCCTGGGTGCATCTGGATGGCTCAGCACATAGCAGCCACATCCTAGTGACAGGAGTGTGCCCTGAGACACACCACAGGGATCTATGGATTTACTTCCCCCTTTTCCCTTGTTTTCAGGCTTCTCTAGGTTCCAAGAGGAGGGTCTGTTGGGAGCCTAGAGTTCTTCCTCCTGTTGATGCTGTTTGGGTTTTAGGATGCCACTCGTACTGTCAAGTTACAGCGATGTTCGGTGATTTCATAGAAGGACCTCACACAGAGCTTCATATCAGAAGTCTGTCTAGTCTTCTGTAGTTCCCTCAGCTGCCAACATCAACAGCTAAAACAAGGCTTTGCTTTCAAGGCAAGAGACACAACTAGCATCACTAGATGGGTACTTCTCACCCATCATTTTCCTTTTCATAGCCCATCACCCACCACACCAGCTTTGTTTACAGATATTTGGTTAAGGATGCTCTTGAAGGGCAGATCTGTGTACTCAACCTTTATATAGGATGCACATGTCCCCAGAGTATTAGCCAAAGCTTAAAGAGGCACAACTGAGCTTTAGAGGAACCAGGGTACCTGAGAGCCCAAAGGTGGCCAAGGATGTCATCTGCCATTCCATCTCTCCGTTACTGATCTCAAACACCACGTTTGTATCCTGAAAGAACTGGTCCATGAGGATTTGAATATGGTCCAGGTCTCCTGCGACCAATGCAGCATGGAACTCAAGCTCAGGGGCTCCAGCTCTAACTTGAGGCTCTTCATTCATCTTCTGGAAGATCTGCAGTTTTCTTCCTACTGGTTTTGGTTGTCTCTCCATTGCAGAGCAACTGACTTCAGAACAGGTTCTTTAGCAGAGGAAGATGGCCTTGTGGAGAGTGGGCTATTTCTATTGTCATTACTCAATTTTCCTCCAGTTGGAGCCCCATGGCAGTGTATTTATAACTCCTGTGGGCTCTGATGTGATAATGGTTACTTGATATGACCAGGGTCATGTGACCACCGAGATGTCACCTCATTCATTCACCCCTGTGCCACATGCATTTAGCCTGACAGACAGACACAGCATTGCTTTTATTCATGGTTTGGTCAGGTGACCCCAGCTTTACACAACATCCATGTTACCTGTTTGTACAGGTTAAGTAACTAGTTTGTAAATATGGCCTCAGTGACCAAATGCTTAACAGATAAATAATATTCTCTCAGATTAAAAGGAAACAATACCATATTTAGAAATGAAAAGTAAAGGTCTTAAGTTCAGAGGAAAGGCACAGGAGACATGGGTGCATGCCTGCCGCTACTTTAGGGTTGTGTCGTCCACTTGTTGTGCCAACGGGCTTGGTAAGAAAGAGGCAGGGCTACGTCTGCTCAGTGATGTGGTCAAGCTGTGATCCGAGTCCATCATGCTTGTACTCCAGAACCCGTCCCCTGTCCAGCACACCACACTGCCCGATCCAGGGGCTGACAGTGGGATCTGCTCAGAGCAGAGGTTACACTGCTAGAAACTGCTTTGCAGAGAGGGTCCTGTGGCTGGAACACGGTTTGGTGCTGCAGGTCCTGTGAAGTCACTTGAGGGAGGCTGAAGCAGAAAGTTTTCTGCCTGTGTTAGCCCTTCGCTCCCAGTGTGTAGAGCACTCAGGTCCTAACAGTGGTTTCCATATGGAGAAGTGTTCGACAGTTTCAAGAGGCTTGGGGGAAGGCTCAATCAGCTGAGTGTAAGCAGACTTGAGTTTGATACCCTGAACCCATGTGAAAAGGAAGTCGGGTGTAGTGATATAAGCTTGCACTCCCAGGACTGGGGAAGTATAAGTGGGTGTATCCCTGGGACTCCCTGGCTTAGCCTAATTAGCCAGCTTAGCCTAATTAGTGTTATTTCCTGACCAACAAGAGATCTGTCTCAAATAAAGGTAGATGGCTTCTGAAGCAAGAGGACAGACCACTAAGACTGTGTTTCAAGAGAGCCAGGCTACACCTCAAGCTGACAGCAAAAAAATTGTAATGTAGTCCACATGGCTCTGTTTTTGTGGTCCTGAAAGATGCAAGGGTGAGGGGGTAATGGAGACTTGAACCAAGGTTCTAGAAGGCAGCCAAGGTCCTGCAATGCGCAGCAGGCTTCGCTTCTGTGCAAGGAGGTCATGGGAAGCCATTGTCCAATGCAGTTTTAGCAGAGACCTCAGGACATTGGTGATGATGGCCATTGAAGAGAATTTCAGGCACAGGGTAGAGTTGGCCCAGGAGAATCAATGTGTGCTGCAGGCTGCAGCGCTGGAGGGTGGGCTTGGAGCTCAGACAGCAGATCTGGAGGAGCTCCAGGACTTGGTGTCAGTTT